TCTCAATTGATATTTCAAACATTACAGCGCGGTTAAAAAAGTTGTTCTTCCGCTACAATAATAAGTTTGCATAACAATAGAGCAAATATATGCAATGACAAGATCCTTACGCAGAAAAAAGTTTCGTACTTTAATATTCCGTATATTAATAATGTATCGAAGAGAATTGAGGACATTACACGTGATTTGGATGTCATTCCATCCTATACAGCAATTAACAGTCTCCGTAAATTCATTAAGTACACAAGGATAAGTTACCAAGGGAACTCCATAACAATTAGTTTATAAAATTGATTGTATGGATTGTGATGCGTCGTACGTAGGGCAGACGGGTAGATTGTTGAAAACTAGGATGAAAGAACATCGCAACAACATAAAAAGAAACGCGTCACAATTATCAGTCATATCGGAACATAGATATTGAACCATGAATTAATTGGGAGGACGTAAAAGTCTTAGACGAGGAGCCTTTTTTAGGTAAACGTTTGATATCCGAAATGATCCACATAAACGTCAGAGGAATAGTTTAAATTTACATAGCGACACTGATAAATTAAACGAGAATTTTGATCTGTTAATAGAAAAATTTACCAAAATCTACTTTGTGATTATACATAGCCGGGTTTTTTTATTAGACCTTTGACATGAGTGCCGATAATTTTTAGTTGTTTTTATTTTATTTTCATATTTTATTTTTATATTTTTATATTTGTTTTTGCGTATATATGTATCGACTGTGTCGAGATAGAATACCGCACAGTCGTTAGAGTGATGTGTCACGTGTAGCATCGTCTTCTCTCTGTTTTTACTGTCGGAGTGAGTGTACTTCCCGGTTTTTAATTTTAATTTTTGTGGATTTTTCTACGTTTAATTTATACTATGTTGATTAGTGTTGGTAAGGGAGTCACTGCTCTGCTTCCTTCCTGACGATGGTCACCGTTAGGGAGACGCTCCGACGGCCGGACGGTTTGAATAAGGAGGAGAATGATATTTAATTTATTTGCGGATTGTATGTATACGAGTTTTATAATTTTCTGTTTGTACCGATTATCTTTTATTTTGGTTCTTTGTATTTTGCAGCTACTGAAGAAGACCCGAAGTGGGTCGAAACGTTTAGAATTTAATAAATGAGTTTGATTTGAGATCTCATTTTAATTTATTAATTTTGTGCATGTCGTCCGCACAGGCTCCGATTGCCGTTGAGATTTAACTATTACTCTTTCTTTTTGTTTAGACGATAGATTTGCTTAATTTATTTAATTAATTTTTATTACAATTTATTTCTATACAAGCTATTAGGACAGACATTCTTCATTTTGTTAGTGAAAGTTTTCTGAATAGTGGTAATGTTATTGACAAGTTTATTTTGCGTTATATTGTATATATATATATATATATATATATATATATATATAGTGATGATAATTTAATTTATTGATTTAATTAATATTGCGTTGTGTTACTAGTGATGTATATTATTATACGTTTATTGTTATTGCACTTTTAACTAATAATTAGCTTGTAATTAATAATAATCTTTATTGACTTATTAATCATCTGAATTTATGTATGAATTACTAAAGCCTTGTATAGCCATGATAATTTAATGCTAATAACTTGTATAATATTTGATTTGACGATCAAATTGTTGTCAAATTTTGAAGAGCCTAATCAATGATTGGTTAATTTATATTTCCATATTGTAAAATAGTGCAGTTATATTATATACAAGGATGTCTTGTAGCCAGAAAATCATTGATTTACAGTAGATTCCTAACGTCATTTGAAGATGATTTTTTTCTGAGTGAAAATGTCGAGGCATCAATTCAAGTTATAAGCCATTGAAAAAGAAGGATTTTTTACAAACTAAATTTTATGGAAATAAAATATTAACAAAAGCACCGTTAATTCTTTAGTTAATTTCAGATAAATTTATTTTAATAGAATTTTAATTTAAGGCTTATAGTTACAAAGATACATGATTATAAATATTGAGAACATGCAAATAAATATAATGATCTCTCTTGACATTTTCGCCGACGAAAAATCGTCTCTAAAAAATGACGTCGGAAATTTACTGAAAATCGATGATTTGCTAAATATGAGACACGCTGTAGATTTAATTTAAGAGCACATATTCGAAATAAAATTTGAATGTTGGAATTATAAATAATAAATTTAAATAATAAGTATAACTGTTATAAGTAGAATATAATAAATATATAACTTATAATTGAATATTGAGTAAATTATGACATAAAGAGTATGGAAATTCTACTTGTGACAATGAACAATAAGAAAGAAATGAGTTCTTAAAGTTTTAAAGAAAACTATATTTTACAATATATTAAAATAGCATGCGTCTACACATATGTGACTGTACAAAAGTAGTTAAATATCTATATGTCTTATTTAAATAAATATTTTCAAAATTAAAAGATAATAAATATACAAAATATAAATTAGATATATGCAAAAAGTATTTATATTTAAGTAGTCAGTTACATAGTTCTCAGCATGTAAACTAAATTGTGCATACTTTTATATTCTCAAATAGTTTATAAATTAATTTGTTAGAATCATATAATTATCAACAAAATTATTATTACAGAAATATGTAACAAAATTAACTCATACAGATCTTAATATACAGTAATTCTGAAGTATTATAAATTTTATATTAAATTATGTCCATTGTGTGTGCCATTATTTATCACATTCTCACTTTAATATCATATATACATTAAAAAAATATTTTATTTTGGGAAATAATTTTATCTTATGTTCATATCACATTAATAATCAATAATTATTATTTAATTAAATAAAACGGTCATAAAACAAATTATCAATTACAATTATTTGTTATGTGCAGTGATATCGAATTACTACACGTGGTTTTTAATCTTATTTTATACTACATACTCAAGATCTAAAATTCAAATATCTCCGACAAAATGGCTGCCGATAATTCTAAGGTAAGCGCAAAACATAGTTAAGCAAATATAAATTATTTTTATATAATTTTTTATATATTATTTAAATAAAGTTTACGTTAATTTGACATAATACATACACACGTAATATATAAATTAATATAAACAAACGCAAATTTATTATGCGAAAAAATATAATTATTTAAAGTAATAAACTTATTGATTAATTTTAGGCTTTTACTGTGCAAAATAATGTTTATAAAGGAAAAGTGTCATCTGTTGTAGTTAACTATAACAGCCTGGCAGAGTTAATATGGTCCAAAATGAAAAGCAATGGAGATAAAATTGCACACGTAAGTCAATCTTTACACGTGATATCAATGTAGAATATTTTAGTAAAAGAGAACTTTCAAAGATATTCAAGCAAGTTGCCAAAAAGTCATAAAATATTGTACAAAAATTTTTAAAGTTGTAGAATGCAGTTGTTGCGTGACAGATATAAATAATAATATAAATATTAAGATTCGTTTATCTTCTATCAATGTGTTTATAAGAAAACAACATCCCAGCTAGAAATAAATGATCAAATCGACGTTGATTCAACAATGAATCGACGTTGATTCGATATCATTTCTGGCTGGGTATAGATCTATTCTAATAAGGTAGGTTTTTATGAATACAATTGATAATGAAAAAACCGATAAATAAACCAAACCTTAAATTTGTTTAAAATTTAATTGCAAATTTTTCTGATTTATATTATTTTTAATTTATTATACTGTATTCTATAATGTCGGTAATAAGCAGAAAGTAGAAAATAATAAGTAGAATGTATCCATGTTTAATTTTGTAATATTTGTTATACGAATAGGTAATACAATAGTTAAAAATAATATTAACTTACAATCATACAATTTATTACTAATATTATTGAACTTAACTTGCATAGTCATTTTATATTGAGTAAACATTTTCGAAAAACTACATAAGATATATACTCAAAATTTATTTATTGCCATTTTAATCATAATTCAATAATTTACAATAACACGAACGGTTGTTGATTATAAGACAATATGTATAATAGTAATAATTTTATAGTTGGACGCATGCACTGAGAAAGTAGTTACGTATACGAAGCTGCAAGACAAAGTCGTGAAATGCGCATTATGGCTACAAAAACAAGAAATCAAACCCGGCGATGTTGTTACTGTGTGCACACACAATCATTTTGATTCCATTGTGCCTTGCTTGGCGGCAATTTACGTCAACGCGATCTTTAATCCGTGGTATGAGGGCATGGATTTGCGTAAGTTCTGCTGTCACGATAATTAAAAATATTGCTACGTTATATTCGATTATTATAATCAGAGATAATGAAATTCTAACAATGGCACAAGTGCAAATATAATTTTATCTATTTTATTCCCAATTAAATTTTTTTGAAATTTATTTTATGTAAATATATAATAATGTTTATAAGTGTCACATTTACGTCAATTAAAACTTATATATATTGTTCTAATTAATAAATATAAATTATAAAAATATACTGAATACGTAAAATTGAATAAATATAAATACATAAATAATTTTATAAATATAAATATTATAGGCAAGCGAAAGGTCTCGGGTTCGATTCCCGATTCTGCGACTTTCGGATCTATATTTTTCTCTCGCATTTATTTCTTTAGGGGGAATAGGGGATACGTGGAATTAAAAATCTTTTGTAGAGATTATTCCAATTTTATATCTTGGCCGTGTCCAAGTAAAATTTGGTGCCTTGTGCACAGGTATTTAATTCTAACGAAATAATTTAGTTTCGTTTAGGATAACGCACTGTTATCCGCGATTTGGCTCTTATTGCCTGTCTAATATATGTTAAATTTATATAAATATTATATATATGTATATATTTAAAAAATAAATATAAATATATACAATTTTGTAATATATATGCTAACGGCGTAATAAGTAGCTATTTGCCACATAAAATATTTTATATGAAAAGTGTGCAAATTGAAAACTTGCACATTGCTTCCTCATCATTTTATTTTGCTCATTAAACTTTCTACATATGAAGAAGTCAAAATTGAAAATACTCATAGAGAATGCTTGCTCATAGAGAAAGCTGGATAATTAAATGATGAGGAAGCAATGTAAAATTTGCACATTTTTTCATATTTTTTTACAATTTCGATGGTATTTGCTCGGAAATATGTATAAAAACTAATTTTATTTTAAAAGATATATAATAATTTGTCTTATTTTTATCTAGATTTTACAACATATCTAAAGCTCATCAAAATCAAAATTTACACGTTCACGAGATTTCTTTTTGGAAGAAAAATCTTAGGATCTAGTAGAAGGATCTAATATTAATGTGCTATTTGTTATTATAGAAACCGCGCTGCATGTCATGCAACTGACAACTCCGAAAGTGATCTTCTGCAGCGAGAAACCCGCGAATATTATTTTGAGAGCGATAAAAGAAAGCAACTTTAACCCCATTGTTGTGGTCTTTGGCGATCATCCAGACGCGATCACGTTTTCAAACATTTTGAATAATCACAGCAATGCAGAAGTGACAAATTTTCGATATGTCGAGATCGACAACATCAAGCAAACGGCGTGCATCATACATTCCTCAGGCACCACTGGAATGCCAAAAGGCGTCGAAATGTCCAATTACTGTCTAATAATCGCCAGCGTGGATACAAATGTAAATTTGAACAATGCGGTGTCAATTTGGTTCTCATCACTTTATTGGTTCAGTGGAATAATAATGAACCTAAAATCCATCGTGCAGGGCGCCACAGTAATTTTATATCCGGAATTTGATGAAGAAATGACGTGTAAATTAATCGAGAAATATAAGGTAAGAGAGAAAATTGCGACAATACATATGTACATTTACATGTATATTATACCGGTGTTCAAAATAAAGCGTTACAAACGTATATCTTAAAAACAAGCATTTCAGAGAAAAATGTTTCAAACAAAAGTTGTATGACTTCAAGGGGGACATAAGATAGTATAATTGGTTTGATCTTGGATAATCCTTTGAAGGTTACCTGAAGATTACGTGAAAGTCACCTTCAATTTCTTAAGTAGAACCCCCTATTTTTTATTGCATATATTCTTGTAGCTTATCTCAAGAGCTTTCCAAAACACTATAATAAAGTACTTTTCTCTTAAGTACTTTTTGAGTTATAAGGCTTAAAATTTACAATTTGTTTACATATAAAATATATATATCTTGTAAAACATTCAGTTTTCGGTAACCTTAATACTTTTATGCACAAAATAATGAAACTAATAATCAATTGATGTAAGAAAAACATAATTGATTGAAAAAAATTATTCTGTGTATAAAAGGCTGATTCGGAAAGCAATCAGTAAATATTTTTGCAGCATTTCTATTATGACGACATTCGCCCAAAATTTGAAACATGTAAAAGTCAACTTTGTTATTTTAAAAATTAAATAAATCAGAACACCTTTCTCTCGATCAACTGGCAATTTTTCTTGCAACGTCTTTTCCTGCTCCGAAACGCCAAATTCGGAGAAGGGAGCGTTCCATTTGAATATTCTGATCGTTAGCGTCGAAAATCGGTAACATAAGAGCTTAACTACTCTTATTTCAGTACCTTCGGTAACTCACGATAAAGTTGGGCGCCAGGCGCAGTTACCTGCGCCGCGGTAGCGATAAAAACGGGACCTTAGATATCCCTTCGAAATTCGGTAGTGAGTCGCGGGTCTAGATTGTTCTTATTCTATGGCTGAGAGAGAGGTATTCAGAGACTTACACAGGTTGACAGAGATAGACAGATATATTTTAGACAATTAAGAATAACAATTATACATGGAATAGATATAAATTTACAATATAATTATATGAGGAAAGTTAACATTTAGGCTAGAGATACAGATAACTATAATAAACAGGGATGAAGATTTCAGTACGACGGTATCGATTGCCAGAGTCGACTAATCGAATTTTCATTAACTATGACGGTAATTAACAACTTCTAACAATCTCGCGACAGTATTATACAATTAAATATACAGGAATATTTGGTAAACGGTTTGGTCGTTCAAACTCGGTATCTCGGATACGCGGTATGCACAGAGGTCACATAAATACGAGTCGAGACACGGCGCGATGCAAAAAAACGGTTAACGATAAGGCGACGGCAATTTCGTGACTCTCTCGCATGACTCTCTCGCTGAGTCAAAAATTGGAATAATTATCACACTCGCGGAGAACGGCTGCACGCAAATTCCGTAAATTTAATGACAGAATAATTAACAAAGAAGATTTTACGCACGGTGACCGTGACATAGAACGATACTCGGAATATACCGACAAACAAGAATAGAAGATTCTCGCTCTCGGAAAGATTGACTGGCGGCACTTCTCGGAGAGGGCTCGACTCGCGAAACTCGAAGTTGGCTGGCCCCGCGGTAACGATACTTAGAGAAAGAGACCGCTCTCTCTAGCACAAGACAACACGATAACGAGACGATACGGTACTCACGGTAATTACTCTACTTTCTCGCCACCCACGACACCAACCAACACTCACGTACGGCTACCCGAGAGGCGACTTACAATAATTGGCGATGAAGTCCGATGTCCTTGCGGTATATAGGCCGGGATCTGGAGGCACTCTCATGCGTGATGATAGAGTCGATGGCGGGGGTCCTAGGGTCTCCCGGACTCTCCCCCTAGCCGGTGTAACTTCTCGCCGGGAATTTTGAACGCTGAACGAGAGGATGCTTTCTCCGATATCTCAGGCTGACATTCCTCTTGCGGGATAGGCAGTAGGCTGGCCGGGCCCTTCGTTCGTCCCTCTTCAGGATATGCCATGTGGTTGATACTGTTCTGAGTCCTGTCGGTATTCTATAATATGTCAATTGCATTAATATTGCGCGAGAGATATTTAACTAAATTTCGGCCACTCGATACTTATCTGCGCGAGGTCCCGGGCTCTCTCTCTCTCCATGCTGCTGCGGTATCCTAGGACATCCTGTCTCGTTTCCTCTTGCCGCACAAAATGGCTCCCGGCTGTCCTCTCGGACCGTCGTCGTCGCGCTCCCTAATAACCTCACGGCACGCGCATCGACAGACCGATGCTGCGTGTAACTCCTAGCTTCGCAAAGAAGGTCTTACAAAATACTTATCGCACCCTCCCCGATACGAGGGGCGCTCCAGACCGTCGCGTCTTACCCGGTCGGGCTTTCCGCCCTTGTGACGGCGCTCTAAAGGCGTCACGTCACAACTTCCCCCTCCTAGAAGAGGACCGAGGAGGTTTTGCTTCGGATGCTTTATCTGGCCGCCTCTCCGGCAGACTCTCTTTCATATGCTTAACTACAGGAAAACAGTAACTCTGCCTCTTCTCCACGAAACTGCCCCGACAGCAACACCACGATTCAACTCTCCGCGTCCGCGCTCGAACTTCCCATGAGCCGCTCCGCGACCGCACGAACTTAGGACTAAGGGAAGGAAAGTAAAAATTTTCTTGTAATCGGTAAGAACTTATTTATTTTGTTCCGCTAGGGGTAGTCCTTATATCATAACAGAATACTATGGATCACCTCCCGCGGAACAACAAAAGTAAACCCCCCAGCTAAGGGGAAAAGAAAAAAAATAATACACAGAGAACTTAACCACATTACTAAATGGTACAAACGACCAAAAGCAAAGCAAACACAAAAGTCAAAAGAAACAAACAAAAAAAGAGAAAAAAGAAGAAAAGAAAACGGAACCAAGAGAAAAGCAGATTTTCGCCGATGGCTCCCGTTCCCGATCCACGGCCTCTGCGGGATCCCTACAGGGAGTTCCCGTCGGTCTCATGGGCCCATGGCTACCCGTTTCGCGTCGGGGAGTCTTCCCGCGCCGGCAATCGCGATCGGGGTGCTCGCGGGCCCCTCCCGGCCGTACACGGTTCCGCCCGACGGTAATTAGGCCCGCATCGTGGGCACTGGCGAAGCGTCACGTCCCTTCATCCGCACCCGTAACAAAATTTATGTACACGGCTCAGCGGACAGGCCGTATACGCGTGGGCGGGGTTGCCACAATTCCAGCATCCCTGCTGCAACTCCCTCAATTGCAAACTCCGGGGGAATCGATTCCGCCGGACTCGGCCGAAACGCAGCCGCGGTGTCCCACCCGGCGATGTAGCCCTCTCGGTGGTCCGCGGTGCCAGCGGCGTTTGCGTCGCGATCTCGGCGCAAGCCCCGCTCCGTGTTTGAGCCGGGGCATCCCGCGTCGCCGGGTACTCCCGCACCACCGCTCCCTCGGTGGTATATACGGACCGTTGGACCTGTACAGCCACGTCCTCCAGGTCGACCCAGAATTACTCTCCGAGTAAGATTCGCCCCCTGGTACAGGCAGACATCGTCCGCAAATTGTAAGATTTGGGTGTTAGTTTTTTTCATAATGATTTTTTCTAGAACGCTAACATTGATTGAGTAAAGGAGCAGACTTAAAACACTTCCTTGAGAAAGACCTTTATGGCCAATTCTTATGCAGTCTACCTTGTTATACTTGAAGTGGACTTTTCTATTAGAAACGAGGTTGTAGATAAATCTTATGTAGAGAGTAGGAAGACCAAGCTCAATTAATTGGTTTATCAAAATATTCCATAGCACATTATTGAACGCGTCTTGGATGTCTAGAAATAATGCACAAATATCTTTATCATTGTTCCAATTATAGTAGATATCAGATGTAAGAATTGATAAATTATCTAAACAAGAGTGATGGTTTCTAAAGCCAGATTGGCTCTTGGGGAGAATATGATTGATTTCTAGCCATTTGTACAACCAATTGTTGATTAGTTTTTTTAAAACTTTCATGATACATTGAGCCAGAGATATGGGACGAAATTTATCCGAGTCCTTTTTTTGGAATAAAAAAACGCTGAAGTTTTTCCATTCCACAGAAAAATCACTTTTTTTTTAAATTTTATTAAATATATCCAAGAGGTATTTTTTAAGATTAATCGGAAGAAATCTTAAAACACGATAGTCGATACGGTCAAGACCCGGAGCTGACCGGATTTTTACGGTGTCAAGTACATAAAGCAATTTCTCAAGAGTAAACAAGAAGTGATATTCGTGAGAAAGGTTGTTAAGATCAAATGTTGGGGGACAAGGAGCACACCATGGAAGGTCAAAACTGTCGATTTGATTGCAAATTATAATAGATTATGTGTCATTATATTCATTAGAAACTTTCTTTCTATGATATTTATTGCCCATGGCTCTGATTCTCTGCCATATGTATTTCAGTTTTGATGTTCTTTCCAAAGAGTCACAAAATTCTAAAAACGATTGTTTTTTTCTGATTTTAAAGTGACGTTTAGCAATCGCATCAGCTTGCTTATATTTAACAAAATTATTATGTGTTTTACAAAATTTAAACTTAAGAAAAGCTGCTTTTCTAAGCCTAGACAGTTTGTCACATTCTCCGTCTCACCATGGAGTGGCTTTAGAATTTTGAGAATAAGACATTGTAGATTTTCTGCGAGGAGTATGACTATTAAAACAATTTTCGGTAATAGCAGTAAATGTCGAGTATTTAGTCTGAATATCTAGAGATGGATTATCCACTACTTCCCTACAGCGCATAATATTTTGATTTAAAGATAATTGAACTGCTGTCCAGTCTGTCTTTGTTGAGTAAATTTTGTTAGATACATCAAACCTTAAACAATTGTATGTAGAGCCCAGAATTTTGAAATGAATAGGGAAGTGATCACTACCCCAGGATTCTTTAATAGTTTTCCAGTGAGTTGTCAATGATATTATGCTATTCGATATTGTCAAATCAATCGCGGACTTCTGTGAGCACGGAGTAGCAAATCTAGTCGGAGAGCCATTATTTATACAGTGTAGATTAAGATCTGAAATAACCTCTGATAAAAGTCGACCTTCTAAGTTGGTCTCTTTACTACCCCATAGTGGATGATGGGCGTTAAAATCGCCACCCACAACAAAGTCATTATGGAACTGAGAGAAAAATTGATGCCATTCTTCAATTAAGATTCTAATATTGGGAAGTTTGTAAATAGCAACTATGGTAATAGGACTAGAGCCGATTTGGATATCAACTGCATATGCCTCAATCTTATCATCAGCGGTATAGTGAACGTTCTTTACCTTATATTTGATATTGCTTCTTACAAATATAGCGACTCCTCCACCACGTCAATCCAACCTCCCTGATTTAATGGTGTCAAATTCCTGAGAAGGAATCTGTCGTTTGGATTCAACCAAGTCTCGGATATTAGAAATATATCATACGTAGAGGCTCTCTTTTCCAATTCGAGATGTTTCCTAAAAATACTTTGGCAATTTCACTGTAAAAACATAAGCGATTTAGTCATTATAACATTGGAGGGTTATCCGAGGCTTGGTGCATCATCTTAGATTTAGATAAATTAACAATAGATTTTTTAAAAGTAAAGTTATTATTAAGTAAGATAAATATTTTAGTTAGTAAATTCATAATTTCCTCTAGAGATGAACTAGAGGTATTAACAATAAGTATATTATTAACGTCACCAGAAAATGTTCCTGTAGTCATCTTGGTGAAAGTTTTGTTGAACACGATGGTGAAATGATATCCTGATGGGGGTGTCTGTTGTTTTGAGATAGATCTTGTTTTGATAGGATCGGGAAGTCAGTTTCATTGATTGATTGTTTCCGAGTAGTATATGATGCCTCTCTCTTAGCACCGACAATAGAAGAATTTGAACTTGAAGCGAGTTTCCTGGCAGTGTTAAAGTCCATGTTTTGTGTAGCCATTAAATTAGTTGCCTTTTTTTAATGATGACCTCTGGACATATTTTGGACAATGATGGGTGTGTACCATTATAGTTTATGCAACAAGGAGGGTGTGAGCAGGAGGTATTATCTGGATGTTTGTCTTGACCGCATACAAGGCATTTGACGCCGTTTCTGCAGAACTTGGTGGCATGATTTAATTGTCCGCAATTAAAGCATTGTCTAATGTCCGGAATGTACGGGGCCATTGACAATCTAGATCTTCACATAATAACATTAGAAGGAACCGTAGCTGATCTCAAATTAAGTTTAACGGTGGTTGAATTAACAAAGGTGGCCACACCATCAACATAGGTTCTAGTTTTAAAACGATATATGTCTACTTTGTCAAATATTAAATTGGGATTGCTTTTTTTTAATGCATTCCAGATTTCTTCGGTAGAGACGTTTGTTTCGATGCCCTTAATAACCACTTTGCGGTGGATCATATACCAAGGAACATTAATTTGGTATTTGGATTCTCGAATGAGCTTGTTACACAGGGTATTGTTCGTTGATAATTGACCATTTATATCTACCTACACGTTCAAGCAAAGAGAAGTTAACTTCTAGATTGATTAAATCCCTTGAAACAGACATATCTAATGCTGGCTTAGTCGTCTGTATTCCTTGTTCTGGAATAGAAATGGATACGATAGCCTTGTAAGGACCAGCATCTGTTCTGATATATTTAATATTGTGGGGCGAGGCAGTAGAGATAGGTAGTTTCGGATTTCCAGTTGTTAGAGGGGTAGGAGGGTTTATCATGACATTTTTTAGTATTGTAGCCATGGTTTTTGACGATTTTTTATTATGGGCTTTATTAAATATTTGAGATTGTTCCTCATCTTAGCGAATTGCTAAGTATTATATATAAGGCTCTTCACAGCAATACATTCTCTATCCTGGTTATTTACAATAAGAGCGATCTAGCCATATCATTTGTTATTTTCACACGCTGGCTGTAATATGCGTGTTTTCCAGGGTTGGGAAGTAACGAGTTACTTGTAACGAAGTTACAGCTACAATTACTTTTTTTTCGGTAACTATAACTTAACTTTGTTACTTTTCTCCATCTGTAACTGTAACTGTAACTTAGTTACATTTTTTTAGTAACTAGTAACTATTTTAATAGTTACTTTATTAGTTACTTTTTTTGGAAACATGCGCTAAAAGTATTGTTTAAGTATGGTAGCCGTTATATTATTAAATTAAATTTTGATAACAGTAGCATATGGATCTTCATATGATTTAATCTTTTACCTAAAATTTTCATTTTGTGTACATAAAATAATATAACACATAATTAAGATCGACCAATCACAGTCAAATATTTAAAAAAATTCTTAAAGGTAATAATTGATCGATTTGCTTGCGACTTTGCGATTACCATTTAGTAACTTACACTATAACTATTTTTACTGTTGTATATAAAGGTCATTCATACATTGATGTTAATTGCAAAGTCGCAAGCAAATCGATCAATATTACATTCAAGAATTTTTTTAAATACTTGACTGTAATTGTGCATAAAATGTAAGCTCCTTATATTTAAAACAATGTATAATTATTTTTAAAAAGTAACTGAAAAGTAACGACTCGTTACTTTTAGAGTAACTGTAACTGTAACGAGTTATTTTTTAAAATCGGTAACTTGTAACTGTAACTAGTTACTTTTTCAATGAAATAACTGTAACTGTAACTAGTTACTTTCACAAAGTAACTTTCCCAACCCTGGTGTTTTCATTAGTATACATTGAGACGAGAGAGATATAGCAGTTTGTTAAGGTGTCTGAATAGCTCAGTTGGAAGAGCAGTCGCCCGGCAAGCGGAAGGTCTCGGGTTCGATTCCCGATTCAGCCGACTTTTTCGGACCGATATATTTTTCTCGTCTACATCGATTTTAGAGGGGGTAAAAAAGGGAAGAGGAACTTATAAATCTCGATTTGAGATTGTTCCTCATCTTAACGAATTGCTAAGTATTATATATAGGGCTCTTCACACCAATACATTCTCTATCCTGGTTATTTATAATAAGAGCGATCTAGCCATATCATTTGTTATTTTCACACGCTGGCTGTAATATGCGTGTTTTCATTAGTATACATTGAGACGAGAGAGGTATAGCGGTTTGTTAAGGTGTCTAAATAGCTCAGTTGGAAGAGCAGTCGCCCGGCAAGCGGAAGGTCTCGAGTTCGATTCAGCCGACTTTTTTGGACCGATGTATTTTTCTCGTCTACATCGATTTTAGAGGGGGTAAAAAAGGGAAGAGGAACTTATAAATCTTGATTTGAGATTGTTCCTCATCTTAACGAATTGCTAAGTATTATATATAGGGCTCTTCACAGCAATACATTCTCTATCCTGGTAAAATTATTTCATTTAACTCACTAGTTCCTTCTATTTCCATGTCGTCATCCGAGCTAGGATCGATGTCGTCGTCATTATTTTTTGGAGATTCACCCGCCCGCAGGCGGGTGAGGTTAGGCTGTTCTTGTTGGTTAATTTTACAGTTAGGATACGCAGTAATTATAAATACCGCGACTTGCCCATTCTTTATGAAAGACTTGTATCACCTTCACCACGACTGTTTAGCACGAGTTTTCAATTAATTAAATAACTGTCTTTATTATTAATATTATTATTAATCGTACATAGCGATTTTGTATCATTCATTATTTCGATATTATTATTTAAATTTTCAATCATCTCCTTCAAAATCTTGTTGTCAGTATTACAATTATCGATTTTCTTTGTTGTTATATTTAACATAGATGATACATCTGTAATATTAGTAATTTTTTTATTTCAAATCTGGTATTATATCTTATAATGGAAATATGTACATAATTTAAAAATCTAAATTACCTGAATTTCTATATATACATAATTTTAATTTACCGAATTTCTATTTCCTTTTCTAAGAAACTGAGAAACTGTAATCGAAATCGCTCAATCACAAAATTATAATAAACACTTATTCATCAGATTTTAACTATTAAATACACCAAATCCTTTAATATACATTATATACTGTCACTACACTATAACACCTCGATACGTACACAACTGTCAAAATATGCAATGACAGCCACTCACGAAGTAAATGCTGTGACAGAACCAATCAGCATCGCGGAAAAGGGGCAACAATACATTCGAGACTTTCGAGAATCGACTTAACATGCCTTTTGTAGAAATGGATTAACCCATACCTGTCAAAACTAGATAATGAATTGTCAAAACCAGGTACTCAATAAATTAATACAATACATCACAAAACGTTAGCGCTTTCTTTCGTCAGTTATATGAAGTGTACATTGCTTTTTACAATCATCACAAAATTTTGACATTTCAACTTTGTATTGTAATAGCTTCGTTTAGAGAGCACGTAGCGCAAAAATAAAGACACTTTCATTATATAATTCATACTCAAGCTATCGATTAAGCCTAGAAATAACCCAATCCATTTAGCGGTTATATGTGAACTAAAAATATCGAGTACTCTCAACTATTCGACTCGCGTAAAGAGACACGGCGTGTCTTTTTTTTCTTTTTCGGACTTAGCACAAGACACTACCACGTCTCTTGATATATATATATATATATATATATATATATATCTAGATATATATATCAAAAAGATATATATATCAAAAGAGATATATATATCAAAAAGAACTTATATGTATTGTGTGTATATATATATATATATATATATATATATATATATATATATATATATACAATACATATATATAAGTTCTTTTTGAAAAATATTAAAATCCATTACCTTGCATACTGATATAATGCATATTTATTAAATAAATTACATAACTTTTACATTTTCACAGCACTGGTAATACAAAATATGAATCTTTTTTATCATTTTGCTACTTAGGTAACGGTGATTTTTCTAAGTCCGAGCATGATCAATAGATTTCTTAAAGCGGGTTATGCAAAAAAGTATTCATTATCATCTTTGGCAGTCGTAATATGTACCGGTGCAATAATCAAACCAAAAGTACAGGAAGAAATTAGATGTATCTTACCGTATGCTCAAATGTTACAAGGTTTCGGTAGGTATCCTAGTAATAAAACTATTTAAATATAATATTAATATATAATAAATAAATTAATAAATAAATAAATAAGATAATTAAATAAAAAAGATTTATCGTATTTATCACATTTAAATTTGATTGTTTAACTTGTATTTCTAGCAATGACAGAACTGGGTGGACTTGCGACGTTACAATTTCCGCATCATAAAGCTGGATCTTGTGGGACGGTAATTGAGAATGTAGAAATAAAGATTGTAGACCCAGAAAATGGAAAGATCCTTGATCCGAATAATCAGGGAGAATTGTGGATAAAAACAGCAATCATAATGAATGGCTACTACAGAAATCCTGAAGCGACAAAAAGGACTGTTGATGAGGAAGGTAAAAAAAGCTTCTTTTAGTTTGCGCATAAGCGTTTAATGATAATAATATAATTCAATTAAATTAACAATAATAAAAATATTAGGTCGGCTCTTTTAATTTAAAACACGATATACACCTTCTTTTTATTATTGTTTATTTCGCATCTGGGCCTAATTATGACGCTTTGGGGGGTGAAACCATTGAGAAAGGTATTGTTTTGTGAGTGTCTGAATAGTTCAGTTGGAAGAGCATTCGCCCAGAAAGCGAAAGGTCTCGGGTTCAATTCCCGATTTAGCCAATTTTTGGACCAATATTTTTCTCGCCTATTTCTTTACAGGGGAAGTTAAAAGAGAAATAAGGAGAATTCTTGAGATTCCAACCATAGGATACAGATTCTCAGATTGCTTAATTTTCGCAATAACATCGCGTTTGGCTCTGTGGCCGAGAAGAAGGAGGTGTATATCGTGTTTTAAATTAAATTAATTATTTATGTACAAATTTATTTATACGCGAATTAACAAGTTGAAATATATCTTACAATAAAAATATAAACTTATTTATTTTTTTTATTTATTTAAATAAAAATATTTTAACCAAAAAATAGAACTGTTGTGTCTAAATAGCTGTTTTGATTTCATATAAAAATAATAACATTAAAAATTACTAAGGTGAAATATTGTATATTGTAATTGCCAGTCAATATATAAATCAAGGTTGTGAGTTTAAATTGACCACACTGGCTAATAATAAAAAGTTATTTATTGAGTAGGCAACGTTTCGACCCTGAAATTGGGTCCGCTTCAGGCTACAATATTAAAACAAGTAGTCGTAAGTACAAAGAAAAAGAAAACGCAACAATTTTTCTTATACAATTCACGTAGATCTTAATGAAATTGCGAAAGAGAAAAAACCTTATCCATAAATTCGATGTGAAGGATTACACAATGCGCATAATATTGATTGAGTCTTATTTAACAAATGTGAGGCTTCTTAACGCTCACTTAATACGAATCGTTATGACAATAGTGTCTAATTTCGGTTTTAATTACATGTCTAACATGAATTCACATGATTCACGCTTTTATATGTAAGTTTTTTTATTATTTTTTAATTTCTATTTTGTAATTTTTTTTTTATTTCTTTACGTTATCCAATTTTAATTTTTATTTATTATTTTTTATTTTTATCTTTGAATTTGTTTCGTTTCTCTTTTAAGGAGCCTCACATTTTTTAAATAAGACTCAATCAATATTATGCGCATTGTGTAACCCTTCACATCAAATTTATGGGTAAGGTTTTTTTCCCTTTCGCAATTTCATTAAGATCTACATGAATTGTATGAGAAAAATTGTCGCGTTTTCTTTTTTTTTGTACTTACGACTACTTGTTTTAATATTGTAGTCTAAAGAAGACCCAATTCCAGGGTCGAAACGTTGCCTACTCAATAAATAACTTTTTATTATTAGCCAGTGTGGTCAATTTAAACTCACAACCTTGATTAAAAATTACATATTTATTTAAAAAATAAAAAATAAAAAATAAAAATTAATACAAAAACAAGAATAAAAATAAAGAAATTTAATTCAAAAACTTGATGCTTTTAACTTTATTAGCATATTATTCAAAATAAAAGCTCCACGTTTTTAAAACATTTTTAACATTGATCTGTACAGCTTAAAGTAATATTATTTTATAAAACAAATTATTGCGCTAATACACTAATTTAAATTTTTCATAACTTATTGTTAGCGCTGTGTATTTAGCAAATTTTTTAAAAATGTTTTTAGAAAATATACCACAAAAGAAATTTAATTTTTTGTTTAGGATGGCTGCATTCGGGTGATATTGGTTACTTTGACGAAGATGGAGAACTCTATATTGTTGATAGGATAAAGGAACTTATAAAATACAGAGGATTTCAAATTTCACCTGGACAAGTTGAAGGTGTTTTAATAACACACCCAGCAGTGATGGAAGTTGCAGTACTAGCAGTGCCTCATCCAATAGATGATGAACATCCTATTGCTTTTGTTACCAAAGTGCCTGATGCAAAGGTATATAATATTGTTACAATTATAATGAAATTATAAAACGAGATTCTATAAAATAGCAATATAACAATAGCGAATGGAAAGATTTTGGAAATTGTTCGAATAATTTCTTAAAAAGCTTCTATAACAATTTTTAATAAACATATTTTCAAAATTTTTTACTCTTTTGACTCTATTAAAAAAAACTTAGGTGTGTAAATTTCAAAAATTTTTAATATAATAAATATATTTCTTGTTATCAGATAAATACATACAGAAAAATTTAAATATCCATACATATACAGAATATATGTATAAGAATAATTGGTACAAATAAAATGGATATTTTTCTTATATTATGATTTTTAATATATATAGTATATACATATATGTTGAAAGAATATCTCTCTTTTTCTCTTTCTTTAATTATATTTATTGGAAATAAAATCTGTTTTGTAGGTAACAGAGCAAGAGTTAATAGACTTTGTAGCGAATAACATGATGGATCAATATAAACTTCGTGCTGGAGTGATATTTTTGGATGCTTTTCCATATACAGGTTCAGGAAAAATCGCGAGAAAAGAATTGAAAACGATGATTAGAAAACTAACAGTTGAATCAAATAATTAATTAAATTTAATTACTAATTATTATATGTAATTATATATAATTATATTATTATTATATATATATATATGGCCGATTTAAAATATCATATATTATTATTATTATTATTATTATTTTTTATTATTATCATTATTATTATTATTATTATTATTATTATTAACTAATTATGTATAATTACTATATTTATTAATATAATTATTATATAAATTCCCAAAATTATTAATAACAGTTACTAGTATTTAAATAGGAGTTGTAGAAATTAATCGACCAGACTAACAACTAAATCATTTATTCAGCTTCACGACGTTTCGACCATGTGGTTGTGGTCCTTATCAAGTAAAACACTAAAATATTTTGTTATATAAATAGTTAATAAACGTACATAAAAAATTCCACAAATAAACATATCAATCAAAATAGAAACCATACTCACAATTAAATTAAAGTTAAACACATTATTATATAAATTTAGTCAGTAACATTTCTTGAAATTATATAAGTCAATCAATAGCACAAAGCGAAACATTCAATACATAACCCGTCGATGGATCCTCAGATTCTAAATGTTTTTAAAAAAGAATATTTACACGACCTTAATTATTTTGCTATAAACCTCGTTAAGATTCTCCGTATCCTTCTGTGAATTTATGTTGTTATTAAGTTTTTTAATATAAAACATTTCGCTAACTCTCTCTTCTAGTGTTTTTCCGTATGTAAAATGTTAAATTTTTTCCAATCAAAGTCATGTTCAAATTCAAATCGGTGTTTGCTTATAACTGAATGTGAACTATAATGCAATTTTATATTATTACAATGCTCCTTTACCCGTGTACTACGATGTCTTTTTATTTTTCCTATATAAGTAGCGGAGCAATTCTTACAATCAATCTTATAGACAACATTTGTTGCATTGTCGTTAGATAAAACATCTTTGCCCACCTTTATAATGTTATCCAGTTTTTTCGGTAAACTATAAACAACATTCATATCAAATTTCCGTAAAGAATGTGAAATACTATTGCTAAAATTGTTCACATATGGTATCGAAATATAAGGTGTTTTTATCTGTGATGTACATAAATTTTCATCATTACTAATAGAACTTTTGTTATATTTTAAGAAATTAATTCTTTTATACAATATATAAAACGATTGATTATGTCGATGGGGAAGCAATTATTTCGTAAAATATTTTTAATTATCTATATGTTTTCTTCATGAAACCGCCTATCGGATAATAATTGCGTGGTCCACTAAATTATAAATTGTGTTAATTTTTTATTTAAAAGGGCGACTAGAATGAAAATTAATGTATCTGCCTGACCACGTAGGTTTTCTATACCAATTTGTTATTAGTTTGTTATCATCCCGACACAAAGTAACATTTAAGAAAATTAGTGATGAATTACATTCTATGTCACAAGTGAATTTTCAAACGCTCATGATAATTATTGAATGTAGACAAAACCACATCTGTTTTTTTAATAGGTATTATGGCAAATATGTCATCTACATATCTTGTGACTTGGCTTTTTGTGCCCGTCACAAGGGTGGACGCGCCCGGCCGGGAAGAGTTGGAGAGCGCTCCAAAAATTTCGTGTATTTTGCGGGCGAGCGGCGAACTCTTCGCCGGCTCGCCCCTACTCGGTAACGAAAGTTGAGGTGGTGGGCCAGGAGGATTAGATTGTTTTAAAAAAAAGAGGACCCCGAAGAATTAAGAAGGGAAGACCATGATGCGGGAGGAACGGAGGTTGAGCGCCCGGCCCGGTGAGTAATCGAAAGAATAAAATTATACACGGTACCGAGTCGCATAAGAATAGGATACTGCCAAAACGATTTTTACAGCCTCGGGGAGTCAATCACCAGCAATCCGAATAAGGGAAGGAAAGGCGCCTGCATCCCTCCACGAGGATGACTATCCTGAGAGGCCCGCTGTCGCATGTCGAGAGGACCTGGAGATCGTCCGGGACTGATCACCCCGGCAGGTCAAGGCCGTAACGAACATCATCCGGCGGCCGTACGAGGTGCAAACGGAGCAGCCGAGAACGGAGCTGCGACCTCGCGAGCGAAGGCGAGAATTTAAAAGTGGCGGCAGGAAATGCGCGACCAGCCACGGAAAGGGGAAATCGATTTGAGGATCAATTATAGGCAATGCCGCCGCGAAGCGTGGCAACTAAGCCAGAGTGACGCGCACTTCTCTTTCTCCCGGCGTAACCACCGACGTTCCGCCGACCCAAATCGGAATCACTGTTCGACGAGCTGGTGTCTCGAACGCGTCACGGACCAGTGACTTACATCCTGCGGCGACATCGAAATATTGTAAGGCCACCTCCTCGATCTCACGGTAAGCGCGGAATCGGCCGGGACCCGTGTGTCATTAGCGAGTTCTCGCGATACCGAGTGTATGAACTCGTTGTATTTTTTATTGTATAGAGTTACCGAATACCTAGAGTGATACGCACGGGACTCGCGTCGATATCCGCGTAACTAATTAATTGTGTATCTCTTCGTCTTCTTTGCCTCTTTGAAGGGCACTGAAACGAGTCGACAGTCGCTGTAAAATCGTGAATTCGTTGTAATGTTATATCGAGTTTTCTATTAAGAACATTGAAAATTGTTATCGATGGATTAGAGTATTGTGTTCACGATCCCGAGCTGATAATGAGAGAAGGAGCGTAGCGATATTGATAATAAGAAAACCAGCGATCTCCTTCGAGCTCGATAGTTAGTACAATAGGTACTAACACATTGTTTTCTGCGCACCACTGACGTGAAATATACTCTTGTCATTTTATCATATATCTGATGAGTGATTATATTGATATTTCCTCTCTCTCTCTCTCCGAGACTACGATTCCGACTCTCCTAACGTAAAGAACCCCGCCCCTCTACCCCATGTCGATACCGAGCTTCCAAGGCGTTGTGCGCGCTAATTACTCATTGTGACATTAATGAGTGGTGCGGCCTGACCGTACCTGGCGCCTAATTTTTTATTTCGAATAGCGATCAAGGGAACGCGAGAGCGGCACGACGAAGTTGCACGTTAGTCTCTCTCTCTCTCACTCTCGACGAGAGAGGACGGGGAGACGGTGGCAATCTATACACGGGGACTGAAAAATCTAATGAACTCAGACAATATGATTCAAAATCGTCCATAATTCCAATATTCTCTAAAATTGGGGACAGCGGTGAGCCCCATAAATTTGCTTATAACACTGTCCTTCGAACCGAAACTAGTGAATCAAGGATGGTTTCAATGACATGTAAAAATTGTGCTAAATTTAATTTTGTATTTTTCGGTATGTCATCCCATCGCTTCTCAATGCCCTTCATAACTCCTTGGGGATGTTGGTAAAGAGCGAAGTGACATCTAAAGAGATCATTATTTCCGAATCCTTAATCAACCTGTCCTGAATGTTTATGGAAAATGACCAACCATCCTTGATGTGTGAGTCTGACTTCTTTCTGGAGCATTTTATAATATTATGTATAAAATTTACTAAATTATAAAACGGGCTATCGAGTGAAAAAACAATAATACGCAACGGAAAACTTATGAATCTTAGGGAGTTTATAACAACATAGTAAGTTACCGTTTGTACAATTTAAATGTTTATAAGTTCTCTCATCGATAAGATCATTAGAGCACCATGATTTAACCAATTTAACTTATTAATTAGAGGTTTTATAGGATCTTTTTTAAGTTTCTTATATGTGTAAGGATCATTAAGTAAATCATTCATTTTTTGTAAATAATCCGTTTTATCCAAAACCACGGTTATTTGTCCCTTATCTGCCCACGTAAATAAAATATCATTATGTGTTTTAAAAAATCTTTCGCACATTGAAAACCCGTCAGACAAAAATCTATCTATGTAATTAATGTTTTATATAATATTTTTTATCGCAAAGAAATTTATTAAGAGAATTAGTGATAAAATTTCTAACATTAGATCTGTCTGCACTAGGTATTTTTAGGACATTAGCTTCAAAATTCTTTATAACATCCAACGTATATCTAACAAGAAAGGGTCGAAAGTGTCCCCCTCCGATTTTAATGAGCTTTGAATATGTTGTAGTCTAGATCAAAATAGAAGACACGTATTTTTTTATAAGTGCTAATTTGGCCGTTAAGGGGGTGAAACACCTTCTTGAAAAAAATCGATTTTTTCATTTCTCAGCAAATACCGTCGAAGCGATAAGAGATATAAAGAAAAGTTTCAAATAAAAATTTTATGGTTTTTAATGTACTTCAAAATCATGTAATCAGATTTGTCGAAAATGTCATATTTTTCGAAATCCCCCCCCCCTCCCTTTCAATGTTTAAAAATTTTTAAATTTGTCTCATAACAAAACTTATAGCTCATTTAACGACAAATTCAATCATATATAATAAAGTTGTATTCCGAAGTCGCATTTTTCAGAAATAAATTAAAAATATCCCTATACACTACTATACGCCCGCTTTATCCGCCTCATGACGCTCGTTATTCACAGCGACAGTTATTTTTCTTCGCAAACTCACAGAGGCAACCATAAATTAGCAATAAATAATTTATGAGAATATATTTTTGTAAATTATAGAAATTATATTTATAACTATAATTTATAATTATATAATATATATAATTATAATATATATATTATGTGACAATAAATATACATATAATTTATATGGAAAAGAAATGTTTTTAATGCATGAAAAATAAAACTAGTCGGACAAGGAAAATTATTGATCAGATGCCGAGGTTAATAGATTCAATTCTATAAATAAACAGATGTCGCATTCGCGAAATGAGTTGGTGCAATATATTATTTTATTAACAACTGCGTGCAGTGGAACACATATTACTATTAAAGCGTCTATCGAATATACGCGAGCGCGATAGTAAATATATTTATATATATAATAAAATAATTAAAAGGATTATAACTTATAAAGCGAGCGAAAAAATGCGTCGGGATAAGAAGGTCAGTTGCCCGAAGTGCTGATACAACCAGTATCACACGGCCAAGTCATCAAATAGAGAAAGAAATCACTCTCGAAATAGCGCTGAATTGCAATAAAATGCGAGGAAGGAAGTCTTTGGACTTCCTTCGCTTGCATTTTGATCACGCCACTTTAGAAATAAATGATGATTTTATTCCACCGCGTCATGCCACCGCGTGATCCCCCTCCGATAATCGTTCAGAACCGGAGGCGTTAAAAATCACCGCCTAGAAGCGGCGGACAGTCACAAATCAGTTATCAAATAATTAACAAGTGCTCGAGTTAATTAACAAGACTAGCCGTTATCCTGAAAAAACAATTGTGCCCCACGCACACAACAATACAGTATGTATGTACTTTTTCGATTTTTAAAACTTTTATAGTTTTTTGCTTTTACTTACACTTTATTCAAAATTGCGGTTTATCTGTTTTGTTTTAATGTATTTAAATTATAATTAATATTTTATTACTTTATTTAAGTTACTATAAATTATGTGATAAAACAGTGTTCTATTTTTCATGAAACTCGGAAAACATAACAAATTATTAATACGCATTAAATAATAAAATATTTTTGTTGCTAATAAGTATTTTTTGCTAATATTTATAAAACAAATATACATAATGTTAATAATTTTTTTTGATAATGTTTAATCCAAGAAATGTAGCAGTACTGCTATACACTGCACTGTATATGACTGGGGAATTCCCAGAAAGTCCTGTTACAACAGATGAAAATGAAACAAAAGACATGATGGAAAATACACTTCGATCAATGTATGAAGAAGCGTTTGAAGTTTATGAAGAATCATTATTAGATTTTCAAAACGAATTTGATATACCTGAAGTAGAACCTGTAATTGATGAAGAAAGAGAAGGTGACACATATTTTGTAAAAGAAATTAAATGTGTTGGATTCTGTACCAATAGAATATAAAAGAAATGCAGTAGAGTTTTGGAGAAGTGGAACAAAAAAGTCAAGAACTCTTGCAACTATAAGAAATAGATTTCGGAAAGTCACGTCATTACGTCAATTAAGAAGATGGGAGCAGCAAGTAAATCAAGGTGGCAGCAGATTTGATAAACTGAAAGAAATTTCAACATATACGTTAAATAAATTCCATGAAGGTATTGAAAAGGGAATAATTATTCATGACATTGATATTGCTCGATGGGCTATTCGCGCACAGAAGGAAGTAAATCTACTTGGATTTACAGCATCATTATCATGGGTAAAAAGGTTTAAGCTTGCACATAATATCGTATCTAGAAAAATTACAAAATTTATAACAAAAAAACATTTAGCGTCAGACAAAGATTTAGAAGCACGAAGTAAGTCATTTATCGAAAATGTTAAATCTTTTATTATACAATATGGAATTGAAAATGTATATAATTCGGACCAAAGTGGATTTCAATTAGAATTTCATTCGTTCACTATCACCTATTGGTATTAAAAAAGTAGAGCGCATAGTACAATCCATATCAGCAACTACACATAGTTATACGAGGGTCACTATTTATATTTCGGGAATTGGCAACACTGATGTCATGTGAGTCCATCTGACGGTTCCATCGTAAAGTTTGACATTTTTGACGATATACGTACTCAGAACATTTTGTCATACGGACACTATTTGTTTATTTTATATTTAGTTGAAAGTTTCGTCTCGGCAAAAAATGGAACTGAATCGTGAACATTTTCGTGCGATGATTTTTTACGACTTTCGACGTGGATTATCACAACAAGAGTGCGTCAATCAACTTAATTTGACTTTTGGCGATGAAGCTCCATCAAAAACCACTGTGTATCGCTGGTATAGTGAATTCAATCGTGGTCGTAGTTCGCTGTCCGACGAGTTTCGTGAAGGTCGTCCAAAATCGACTGTAGTGCCAGAAAACATCGATGCTGTGCACGAAATGATTAAGCAAGATCGTCATGTAACCTATTGTGAGATTGAGGCATCCCTAAGCATTAGTTCCACCAGCATATATGCGATTTTACATGAACACTTAGCTGTGCGAAAGTTATGTTCGCGTTGGATCCCACATAATTTGACAATCGCTCAAAAAAAGGCTCGTGTCGATTGGTGCAAAGAAATGCTTAAGAAATACAATCGCGGTGCTTCAAAAGACGTTTATAAAATCGTGACAGGTGACGAATCATGGATATATTCGTATGAGCCCGAAAGTAAGCAGCAGTCGACTGTATGGGTGTTCCAAGATGAACCAAATCCAACAAAAGTTGTTTGCGCACGAAGCACTTCAAAGAAAATGGTGGCCTGTTCTTCGGAAAAACTGGTCATATTGCAACAGTGCCTCTAGAGGA